GCCCGGCGCAGGAATCCAGACTGAAGCCCCACCGGACAGAGGGCGGCGCGGCGGGGCGGGGCGGGGCGGTGCTGCTTGACGCGCTCGCGGGCAGACCGACACCAACCCCCAAAGCAATGACGAAACGCTTCCGAAGATGGTCTCTTGCAACGGGGTCAGCCGGGGGCAGACGCGATTCGGTTTAAGAGTCGGCGTCGAATCGGGCGGCTCCAGAACTACAAATCATGCATGCGTTATAAACCCGATGGTTGAGGCAGACAGTTCTACCTTCGTCAGTGGGTCCGAGCCGCCTGCAGCTCCTCCGGAAGAAGAGCCCGGGTCATCTCGGTGGAGATGTGGGCTCCGAGCTCAGCCGCGGTGGAAGAAGCGAGCTCGGGCTGGGGACCTCAGAAAAGGGACCGAGCAGTGCTCAGTCCCGCAGTGCATAACTGGGATTAAAACCATACGATCGGTTTAAGAAATAGCAGCCAGAACGATTTCTATGGATCCGGAGTTAGGAATAGAAACATTATCAACAACAAAGGGAAAGCCGGTCCTGTGCACAGGAGGGGACGCTCCAGCCTTCCTGGCTAGGTGGAACCACCAGCTTTTTTGCAGCTTCCCAAAACCCAGAAGGGAGTCATATGGGGGGGGGGGGGGGATGCTACACCAGAGGAGGAGAGCCCCAACCGACATGGCCCACCCACGTGGCTGCTGCAGGTGACCATCTCTACCCAAGTGGACCTGTAGCAAACCGGCCCTACTGGATCTTACCCAGTGGGCAGATGTTACGGGGAGAAGTTGCTGATGCAAGATGCCTATGAAGAGCTTTGCGGGTGACAACCAGCCTGGACTGGGTTTTGCCCGGAAGCTGGCTGACAACCAGCGGAGCGCTCCGGGTAAAGGGGTTAGGGGCTGCCTCAAGATGCACCCGTTGCTGCATGAGCTGGCGCACTCCTGGCCAGCTATGGCTTCTAAATGCTCGCCAAAGGCAGCCCCAAGCAGAGGGCATTGTGATAGCAGAGAGCAATAGAGAGGTGACTGCAAGCAACACCTGCTGCTTATATATTTATTTGTTTATTGGATTTGCTAAGGTCACCCAACTCTACAAAGTCTCTGGACAGCTTACAATACGTCCAGTACATACGTAAAAAACACAGCTAAAACAACATGACCGCCCAAACTAAAACAGCACTCCCCTCCCCTCCAAAAAAAGACAGGGGCTCCACAAACACATTAGCTCCAGGTCCAGGAACAGAGCCGGGTCTTAAGAGACTTCCAGAACCTTGGAGAACGGGAGCCGTGCGTATCTCCAGGGGAAATGCTCTTCCGGAGTCTGTGGCGGAGTGCTCCAGTGGAAAAAGGGGTGCCGCTCCATATCTGGAGCCAAGTGGGAACTGGCAAAATGGGGAGCTGGTGTTTTCCTTCTCCGGGTTCACCTCCAGGCTGAAGGTGAAGGAAAATGGAGGTGGAGGGGAAGCCTGGTAATTGTTTGGGTCATCTAGAGACAGAAGCCACTTGGATGGTTCCCATGTTTCTTAAGAATATATAACCTTGCAAAGATTAAGAGAGGCCTCCTGGGTTAAAGTCTGTGTGAGGTGCACAACCAAGGTCTAGCTCAGTGTTTCTCAACCTTGGCAACTTTAAGTTGTGGGGACTTCAACTCCCAGAATTCCCCAGCCAGCAGTCCTTTAGGTATTTAAAGACAGCCATCAGGTCCCTGCTCAACCTTCTCTTCTGCTTGGTAATTAGATGAATTACCAGGCCCACAGCACAACTGAAGATGCTGTAAACCAGTGTTTCTCAACCTTGGCCACTGGAAGATGTGTGGACTTCAACTCCCAGAATTCCCCAGCCAGCAGTCCTTTAGGTATTTAAAGACAGCCATCAGGTCCCTGCTCAACCTTCTCTTCTGCTTGGTAATTAGATGAATTACCAGGCCCACAGCACAACTGAAGATGCTGTAAACCAGTGTTTCTCAACCTTGGCCACTGGAAGATGTGTGGACTTC